AGGAAGGAAGGAAGGAAGGAAGGAAGGAAGGAAGGAAGGAAGGAAGGGAGGGAGGGAGGGAGGGAGGGAGGGAGGGAGGAAGGTTGGTTTAATTAGTATTTAAAACAAATCATTATCAGATGCTAGAAACACAAACTTGATTTTTTTTGACAAAGACAAAGAGGCAGATGACCTTTTTTTAATAATGCATTCCCCAATTAACCACTCCTGCATGTTTGTTGGATGATACCAAGAAATAAAACAACTTCGGAGGAATGATAATAGTCCCTGAGAGTAAGGATGACATCATGTTCTCCCAGAGTATCCTTTTGGCTTAATGATGTGATTACCATTATTTCTGATGTTCAGGCTATAAGTGACATTGATTAGGGAGAGGAAATGGTATCAAAGTTTTAGAAGTTCAAAAAGAGCCCTGGGAAGAATGTATTAATGGGAAGAAAGACATCTGAAATGAGTTAAAATGTGGGTGATGAGTAGCCCCGGAATGCTGACCTCCATTTGGAAGAGGAAAGCAGAAATGAACCAGATGATAACTGATGTACAATGCAGCTACTTTTACCATCAACTCAAAATTCTAATTCCAGATCCCTTTTATCTAGTAATGAATTCTAGTGATTCTAGTAATGAAACTAAAATCAAACTATTACTGGAAACACTGGTTTAAGTTTAAGCAGTGATGCTTCTGTTAAGAAAAGTAATGTTCAAGAATCAAAGTAACCCCAGCAGATCAAGAAAATATGGACAGGGAAAAGATTTTAGCCTGGCTTTTTTGCTAAAGAATATAAAGATAAAGGTTTTCCCTGTCTTGTCAGACTCTAGGGAGCACTGCTTTATCTTCATTTCTTAGTCAAGGGAGCCAGAATTGTTTGAATACATTCCTGTGTTCATGTGGCCAGAGTGAATATATGCTGAGTGCGCAGAACTCTTATTACTTTCCCACTGAAATGGTACCTGTTAGGGATACACCCTAGCAGAATCTGCATGGCAGTCAGGCAGGCAGGCAAAAATATGTGAGATAAACGTTTTTGTAGCTTACACTCAGTAAAACAGATACACAGTGCTAATTAAATAGTTTATTCCGGTAAGAGTTATAGCATAGTCAAACAGTCCATATATCATTCACTAGTTCAGTCCATCCGGGATTATTCAGTTGCAAATTCCAGTGTCGAAAAAGAGAGGTCAGTAAACTTACAAATATCAGTCCAGTAATATATCTCCTTGCAGTAGAGATATGAAGAAGTCAAAAACTCCTCTCTTCCTTCAGCAACTCAGCAGTAGGGGAAACACGCAGTTAACAAACCATCAATCAATCCATGCAATCCAGTAATTGTCAGGTTCTCTTGCTCCCTCTTATGGTGGTTTCACACCACACCCAAAATTACATGCTTTGCAGTTTTAAAGTGACACACACTTAAACTTACAATCATAGTTTATATATATTATTTTACCCAAACTACATTAGGTAACCTATGTTATACCTAACAGTACCTATTTAACTACTCACATTTGCAACACTTTCAGACTGCTAGGTGAGCAGGAGCTGGAACAAATGACGGGAGTTCACCCCATCATACGGCACTTGGTTGGTCTATATTTCATGATAATGGATTTCTGGAACACCTTTGGCAATGTATTTTTAAAAGTATATTAAAAGTTTAAAATTGCCCAATGGCTGAATAGCTGGATTCCCTATAGCTGGCTGGTTTATAATAAAACATATTAAATTATTTCATATATGTGTGTGTGTGTGTGTGTGTGTGTGTTTGTGTTTACACATAAGACTTACACACACTCACACTCACACGCATACACTATTTTAACTTGCCAGATCCATGTTTGTCTGCTGGAACATCTCAAGAGTTGCTACAAGGATTTAGGAGTAAAACTACAATGTTTTAAAGTTGTGCTTCTTTTGCATGTTTTGGTCAACTTAAAAGAAAATCAGGGCATTAATGGTGAATTCAGTTGACCCATTTTAAGCTCCACTCAATTCTAAAAATGGACAATAGTTTAGTCCTAGCCATTATGATAAAATCACCTCATGATTCTTGCAGGATAAATGAATTGAAAAAGAAAACCCTTCAAAATGCAACCACTATTTAGATTATCCAACCCTATTTGTAAACTTAAAGAGCATCCATTGATGTTCAAAGTACAAATGGCTAGAAATAGGTTGAAATTTAAATTTTGAGTCTTACGGATAGTGTATTTCTTATAAGTACATATTGAATTCTTATTTAGATATGCCAGCACAGGACATTAATCAATATTATCTTCAGTGAAATGATGTTTGGTTAGGTCTCTGCTATTGATGTTTATTCATTTGTAAGTTTGTTTGTTTATTTAAAATGTGTATAATGCCCCAAACCCTGATAATTCTAGGAAGCTTATAAAAAATGTAATAAAGCAATCATAATCATAAAAATCTCATTTAAACAAGAAATCATCAGGCATTAGATCAAAATATTAAATGGCCTGGATAAAAGGACATATTTTGAGCCCCTCGAACAGTGTAATAAAGAGAAATTGCTTCAATTTGATTAGTAATATTTTTTACAGATAAAGTACTACTGAAATAATTTATGCCAGAATGATAGAATTGATAGAACTGCTCCATTCAGTAAATTAAAACTGTTTACACTTACAGGTCTACTTAATGGGGGCGGGGGGGTGGGGGAAAGTCACTTACAAAATGATATATATTCCTTCTGTTTTACTGTAATATGTGCATTTTATCTGTTTCATGTTGTTTCATACTATTTCCATTTTCAGAACATTATATAGTTTTGATAACTTTCAGGTAATTGTCACAGAGTTGCTGTGAGTGAGTAGTCAGCTATATAAATTTTCTAAAATACATAAATAAAATAAATACATCACTGAATTACATGGTAAATCAGAAAATCATTAAATGAAAGAAATACTTTCCCATTCTATTTTTCCTTAGATGTTTGTTAATAAAGATGTATTTTATTATAACTCCAGGTGATTAAATAAAATAAAATGGTAAAAAATGGACAAAATCCTTGTCAGTTTTGGAAATTTAGGTGGTAACTTTGGGTAAACAAAGTTGTATATGGTTTCTTAAAAACTTTGCAGATAAATCCAAAATAAATGTTTTCTTTTTCTCTTAGCAGAAAGGAAAATTGTGACTTTGAATATTCAAACTCAGCCAACATATAAAACAATATCCAACGTTGTTGGGTATTTAAAAGGAGCTACAGTTCCTGGTAGGTTTATTTTGATTTCTTCGTGTGCTAGCTAACTTTTGCAAGTCACTTGACATATTTCTGAACAGGAACAGAATTTCACAACTTATTCTGGACTGTGGATTACACTTAACCTTCAAACTATACATAACAGCCTTTTATTTTTTGGACTTTGTCCTATATAGTTACCCAGACTGAGCACTTACACCTATCTGAAAAATAATTATGGGAGTTGAAATCCACACATTAAACATGCTAAGGTTGAAAAACATTGATGTAGACAATATATATCTTCTTAACACATTCCACATGGTGTACTTTAGTATACTGTGATTTAGTTTAACTATTTCATATCTGAGTAAGACTTCTGGTAGGAGTATCATTTGCCTGAAAGAAGATACCTTATACTACAGACCTTTAGCAAACAGAAAGCAAGAGACTATGATTGACAATTTCAACTCACTTTAAATACAGTGAGCTATTTGAGTTACTTCCAAAAATATAGTAATTACTAAAAACCAAGCAAGACACATCTAACCCCTTAAGATAGTTTAGATCCATTTTAGATGGTTGCTATAACTACTTAGTCTTATGTCTTTTCAGATAGGTTCATTGGATGATTCACTATAAAATATTCTGCATTATAAATGATGTTGTTAGCTTGGGATTGCAAGCAAATAATGTTGAGGTCTTTAAAATACAAGTGATTCTTGAACCTAGCTGATTATTATGACAAACGATAGCTGTGACACAGCTTGCAAGAACGGGAAAAGTAACCAATATGATCAGTATTTGGAAGGACTGTTGGTTGTATTGATTAATCAGTAAAAGGATTTGCTTGCTGTATGTTTTTCAGATAGATACGTCATAGTTGGCAGCCACCACAGCAGTTTGCCTGGCTATAGTAGTGAACAATGGGCTCATGGCACAGCAGTAATTACTGCACTTATCCAAGCCTTGATGAGGAAGGTGAAGAAAGGTTGGAGGCCTGAGAGGACCATCATTTTCTGCTCATGGGGTGGAACCATGTTTGGCAAGATTGGTTCCTATGAATGGGCAGAGGTAAGAATGTTTACAGGGGATCTAGAGTTGCCAATATCAAGGATAAGAATTATTAATTGATAATTAATAATAATCCTGTCAGCATTCCAACTAATCACTCCAAACCAATAAACTCCAAGACAAACAGTTCATCAAAGTTCCATTTATTAGAGTTGTCATATTGGCACATGTCATGCCCATATTGGAGATTGACTCTGAGGGAGAGGAGGAACAGCTGACAGGGAGTGGAAGTGTGGCTCTGGAGGTTGTGGAGGAGGCTGGGCAGTCAGAGAAAGACCCAGGCCCATCCCCTCTCCATCCTAGGGTATAAAGGGAGGAGAGGATAAGGGAGAGATATGAATGGCATGGTCTATGGGGGAGGAAAGGGCCTTGATCCTCTTCATGGGCTGCAGCTGTGAGAACTGGTTAAAAGGGTGGACATGTGTATGGGCCAGTGCTGGAAACAAAGCATGGAAATAGTCTGTCATTCCTCTCTGAGTTTGGAGTCCTTCCCAGTGTGTGTTCTGATATCTGTGGACGTCTTCAAGCCCTTATCTTGCCTGGTTCCCTTAATTGCTTCAGTGTGGTTTGTGTTGTTTTATAATTTATAGGCATTTTTAGTTTAAACGACATTTCCTCCTTTTCGTAACTACTTGTGGGGGAGGTTTTTTTGTCTCCAGACAAGGATATTTGGAGCTTTGAAGCAAAGTGAAGGAATAAAAGGGACTTCACCTGTTTTTGTGACTGAGTTTATTTTGTATCCCATCCTGGGTCATCACAGCACATCTGGGAAAACTCAAATCTGAGAGTTCCGGATTTTCCCTTCCCAGAAGAGAAATCAAAGATCCCTCCCCTGCACCCATCAGTCCATCACATGGCCTAGTCAAATCTTCATCCCAACTGGAGACATTCCTCCAGACACTCCTCTCCAAGTGAAGGGCAACATGTCCTTGACTCTTTGAGAAATAATGTTGTTGTGTCTAGTCTTCTACCCCACTATGAAATCCCCCCTCCCAAATTCCCAGACACTGAATTTGGCAGCCTCGAAGCTTCCAAGTAAAAAGTGGCTTCCAAGGCTCACATATCCCTTGCCCTATGGAACTTCCTGGTCTCCTGTTGCTAAATTTTATTCTCTGAGTATGTCCTTTTCTTCCTTCTCAGAGACATTTTCTAAAGATTCAGATGAGTGAAAACTAAGTCTAAGCTGCCTGACAACTTGTTTATGTGTTTGGTGATTGTACCCGGAAAGATGAATTAGTGGTATCTGTGAAGAAAAAGAGAGGGCCATGATATCTGAAAATTCCCCAGTTGTCCAGCTTTTATCAATTTCCATTATGATTATCATCTAAATCAGTATCTAATTAGTTGAGTGATGATACCAATGATTTTTCTCCTAGGCAAGAATAAAGAGTCATGTTGTTGTCACTGAAAAATGTAAGCTGTTATAAGTAGTTATAAGTACCTTTTAAAATATTAATGGTGTAAAGTACAGTAAATGTAAACTTTCTAAATATTTGTTTGAGCCGTGGTGGCATACTGGTTAGAATGCAGTATTGCAGGGTAATTCAGCTCACCTCCAGGAGTTCAATCTTCATCCTGGCTCAAGGTTGATTCAGCCTTCCATCCTTCCGAGGTCAGTAAAATGAGGACCCAGATTGTTAGGTGCAATATGCTGACTCTGTAAACTGCTTAGAAGGTCTGTAAAATGCTACGAAACAGTATATAAGTGCTTTTTGGTATGGCACCAAGAGTTTCAGTTTTCATCTTCATGGCAATCATTTTGTTTTTCCTCCAGAATCTTTTGACCTCAATTTGCAAAGCATGGTTGTTTTTCATCAATTCCACAGTCTCTTCATATCAGTGAACTTTCCCTTCTCTAGTGTGTTGTGTTTTAGGTGTTTATTAGCTTGAATTTTGAAATCCCACAAAACGTTGATTTCCTCATTTTTGCAAAAGGCGCTGATGCTCTTCAAACAACCAGACAATCAAAGCTCTTATGGAAAGATTTTGTTCTTTTTTTTTCACTTAATAATGCAATTGACATTTTAAATAAACATAGTAAAAATTAATGCAAGGTAAACTAGAGAAAAAAATAATAGAAGCTCAGAAGGTACAGAACAAAGAAAGAGTAAAGATATTAAAACACATGTAGATGAAAACTGATCATTTAGAGCTATTATTTTACATGAATTCAGGCAATTAATCAATATTTTAGAGCCGCCGCCTCCTCTAATTTGTAGCCAATTAAAATGTTCTTTAACAGCAAATAGATGATAAGTTGTGTCAACTGAATGTTGAATTAGCAAAAGGAAACAATTTTCTAGGTGCATTGTAGAATCCACTGAGAGTACAAGAATGGTTAATAACACCATCTGTCAGTCAATCAGTGACTAGAGGGAACTGGATAAATAAGCCATAAAGATAATCGAGGTAGGTGGCTAATTGGTACATGCCTTTTGGTCAGATCAAGCAATAAAACTTCCAGGAGAGAAAAAGGAAGTGGAGAATATTACAATTCAAGTCAGATATATACCAGCTTGTTGGATTTGAATAGGATGCTTTTTGTAGATTTTAGTTCTGCATTTAACACAATTCTTCTACATAGACTAGTGCCTAAACTTCTGGACCTTGGACTTTCTTATTCAACCTGCCTTTGGATTATGAATTTTCTGTCTAGCCACTCACAGAGGGTCAGATTAGGTAATCATACCTCTTCAGCCCTTATTCTTAACACTGGTACACCACAGGGTTGCATGTTGAGTCCCTTACTCTATACTCTTTATGTGCATGACTGTATTCCTACTCATGCTAGCAATACTAAATTTGCAGATGATACAACAGTGGTGGGACTCATCTCCAGGGGAGATGAGTCTGCCTACCGAGATGAGGTGGACCGGTTGCTTTCACGGTGTGGAGACAATAACTTGGTCCTCAACACCAATGAGACCAAAGAGCTTATAGTGGACTATAGAAGGAACAGATCAGACATCCAGCCCTTGCTTATCAATGGAGACCGAGTGGAGCAAGTGGCCAGTTTTAAGTTTCTGGGTATTACCATAAAAGAGGACCTGACCTGGGGTGCTCACATTGCAGCCCTGGTCGAAAGGACCCAGCAGGGATTATGCCACCTGAGATTTCTCAGAAAACAACAACTGAATGAAAAACTGCTAATGACCTTCTACTGCTGCACCATAGAGAGTATCCTAACCTGCACCTCTGTATGGTGTGCCAATTGCACAGTGGCAGATAGGAAAGCACTCCAAAGGGTTAACGTCATTGCCCAGAAGATCATGGGTTGCCCTCTCCCCTCTTTGGAAGAGCTTTATAGCTTCTGCTGCCTTAAGAAAGTTCAACACATTCTCAAAGATCCATCTCATCCCGGGCACCCTTTTTTTTCAACTATTACCATCTGGCAGACCGTACAGAATAATAAAAACTAGGACAAATAGGCTGAAAAACAGCTTCTATCCCAGGGTGGTAGTTCTGTTGAATTCTACTGTATAGGGCAGTGTTGGTGTAGTGTCGAGGTTTTCAGTTCAATGTGTGGAGTGCGAAGGATGTGTGTTTGTGTTTATTTTCATAGTCAAGATGTGCACTAAAAATGGTGTTTGATTTCGTTGTACAAGGTGCAATGACAATAAAGTAAACTGACTAATACTATAAGCAGAATAAAAGTATATGTTTCATCTCTATTTTAAAGAAGCCGAGCAATTCAGTTTCAATTGACATTCGTTGGTTTATTGAATTAGTATAGCCACCCATATCACCAAAAGTGACTCTGCAAGATGTACAACATAATTAAAACAATAAATAAATCCATAAAATCATTTCTTATTATTAATTTAAAATATAACTCTCAGCCACCTTAATTAAATAATGAACCAAGGATGACAATCATTCTTAGCCTTAAAGCTACAAATTTGATATGTATGTAACCGAATATATACCATACATTAAACAGTATTACATTTGGACTCTTTAAAACAACAGTGTGGTGATTTAGTTTAAGAACATAAAAATACCTTAACTGATTTAGGTAAATTCTCAGTATCTGTAAATAGATTTGTGTACATTCTGAGTTGGACTTGGTACAGAGTTTACACACTGAAAAAAAAATACAAACAGAGATCCGTCCTTAAGCCTCTCTTCTTGTAATGATGCAACATTCATAATACACTCTGATAAAAAAAACCACAACTGCCAGAAGTTCTGCAGAAATCAATCAATCAATCAATCATCTATATATTTTATCTATCCACAGACTAACCTAGTATTTTAGCCACACTGTTTTTATTCCATGCACTAGTTTTTTAAATTCAAAAGAATATTCTTTTTCTCATTAAAAAAACCCCAAAGCTCTTTATCAAAATAATAAAGATAAACGGAAGATAAAAGCAGCCAAAAAAAGAGTTTAAAAATAATAATAAAAAAGAATTAAAAGCATTCCACTAGAAAAAAGCAAAACAAAGTGGTTCAAGAGAGAAATAAAAAGATGGATGTTTAAAAGATACCCGAAGGACATTAGCATTGTAGGTCTAGTGTATCTCAGAGGACAGTTAATTCCACAAAACAGGAGAACTTTAGATGAAACTTTTCTCCATGGCATAAACTAACAGCCAAATCGTATGCAAAACCAGAAACTCCTCTAAAGGATTCTGAGCTGCTGATGCAAGTAAATAATGAGTAAATAAGGGTTTTAAAGTATAATGGGGGCATAATGGCTCACTGGTGAAAGATGCTGAACTTGTCAGTTGGAAATATGATAGTCTGGGTTTGAGACCTGAATGCCATGCAACAAGATAAGCTCTCGTTACTTGCCCTAACTCAGTTCAAAAGCACAAAAATGCGAGTAGATAAATAGGTACCACTTCGGTGGGAAGATAACAGTATTCTGTGCACCTCAGTATATAATCATGCTGGTCACATGACCATGGAAATGTCTTCAGAGATTGCTGGCTCGCTTGGCTAAGAAACGGAGATGGGCACTGTCCTATAGAGTCAGTCATGACTGGACAGAGGAAAACTTTATGTATAAAATTGCTGCAAAGACATGAGTCTTTGCATGTTTACTTAATAAAAACTTTGTCACCAAAAATTAATGTGCTTTTCTATTTCTCAGATTAACTGGGTGGGGGAAAATCTGAGAGAGGACTATTGCGGTGACCCAGGGTGGGATACAAAACAAACACAATCACAGAAAACAGGTGAAGCCCCTTTTATTCCTTCACTTTGCTTCCAAGCTCCGAATATTCTTGATGGAAGACAAAAAACTCCCACATAAACAGTTATAAGAAGAAGGAAAAAAGCAACACAAACCCGGCAAGATAAGGGCTGGAGGACATCCACAGATAACACACACTGGGAAGGATGCCAAACTCAGAGAGGAACCATAAACTCGACCTGCTTAGAGTAAAGACCCAGCCCACGGGCCTTGAGTTTGATACTCCTGATCTAATGGGTCCAGTCTCTAGGCACGAATATAGAAATCAAAGCCTGATCTCACAATGACAAAGGAATATCTTAGGAAACACAGTAGGTGCATATTTTCATAGGGATTTGAAGAAAATTTACAACTATAAACACTTTTCTTCCCCTTTTGCTCTATTGGTGGGGATTGCTTTTTCTAAGTAGATACTTTATAAATGAATATCATCCCCTGTAATCATGAAAGATGTACTTTCTGCTTAGCTTGCAAATTCTAATGGCAGGATTTTAAAGACCTGCCAGCTATGATAAAGCTGGACTGCTCTGAATCTGAAGTTACATAAAAAGTGTGCAGATATTATTTGGCCTGAGTGTAAGCAACGGAAAAGCATTACCAAAGGCTTATTCTTCTAACTGAACAATAAGCTTACAATAAGATGTGAAAAATATGAAAAGAGGGAACTGGTTGCAACCAGTTATCAAAAGGATTCTTACAATTGCCTGAGAGCAAAATTTCTTCAGTTCCACTTCAAATCACATCAAACTTAATTGTGTTATATCCCTTTTGCTCAATGTGAAGAATCTCTTCGTGGAACAAATACTTCATTACTAGGTAGGCAATGGGAAATAATTGAAATACGCCTTTGCTTTTAAAAAGATAACAAAATGACAGCACTTCCGGTTTGAAGGGCTTCGGCGACAGACAGGAATCTGCAATCATGCATGGTTTCTGCCTGGGCTCGCCGCTGGAGTGCCCCGAGCCAGCTGGTTTCGGGGCTAAGCCACCCCGTCGAGGTGGTGAAGAAGGGGAGACTGCCAGCAGGGTCGAGGAGAGCCGCATGTCTCCTCCTCAGCTGGTCAAACTCCCTTTGCCGAAGGCGGTAGGAGCGGTGGTCAGAAATGGCCATCTCAAAGAAGTACTCAACCGGAAAAGAATGTTCAGGAAGAAGATAAGAAGTGAAAGTTTTGGCTGACTGGGCTAAGTTGAAAAAGCAATAACTAAGGTACCCTGGAATTTAAATTTTACAAGAAATAACATCGGTCCCAAAAAAGATTTGGAAGCAGCGAAAGAAAGTGAAAAGGGAAAGGTTTGGCTTTTTTTTTCCTTCTCTCTCTTTCCTTATATTGACAATTAAGAATAAGAAATTGGAAAAATCCGCTTTGGCATCAACAGGCAATTAAGCTGAAAATATAACTAAATGCCAAAGGGACAATAAAAATTTCTGGATATTAAAACCTTTTTCTTCTATAAGCAGGAAGGGAGAGAAAAAGAATAACGGCAGGATCTGGAAGAGGGAGGAGACTGCCTGGACTTTAAAAGAATCTAAAGTAAAATTTCAATAAGATTTCTAAAAGATACATTTTAACTGAAACTTTGCAACTAAATAGTAACCCCAGGAAGAGAAAGTGGGAAAAAAAGAAAGAGCAAAAAAAACAGTTTGTATGTATTTGGATTACGTGGTGACTTTTGGATATTTGGCTATTATATTTGAATGACTAAAATCAATCGGGTGGTTGTTTAAATTTTTTTACAATGGCATCACTTTTCGATGAATTGAAAATGGAACTTAAAAAGTGCAAAAAAGAGGCACAAGAAGGGAAGGGTTGCTTTGGCTTCATTTTTCAATTCTTAGAAATGGAGATTTGGAACTATGAGAAACAACAAGAAAAGACTGTAAAACAAGAAGACTGGGACAAAGAAGAAGCCATCTTTAATGAACAAGTAACTCTATGTGGGGAAGAAAAAGGAAAGGGGGGAAAGAGGATGGAGAATTTAAGATTTTAAAAAACAACCAAAGAAAAGAAAAAATTTGAAAAATATGTATAATACTGGAAAATATGAAAATTTGAAAAATATGTATAATACTGGAAAACAACAGAAAAGGGGAATACAGAAGAGGGAAGTAGACGTAGAGAGACAAAGGGATAAAAAGGGGAGGGAGAAGAAGAGAGGGAAGAAGGAAAGGAAAAGAAGTCACAAAGGTCCTGAGCAAGATATAAAGAAACAGGACCTATTTAGAGATAATGGCTAAAAATTTAACTGAAAGGGGGATTCTGTAAAGGTACATGAGATTGTGTTGTTATATTTGAAATAGAAATAACTTTAGAAAATTGGAAATAACATATGATTAGAATGAGGGATAGAATGGTTAGTGTAACTTAGTGAAATGTTTGTGAATAAAGTAAATGAAATAAAATAAATGAGAAAATTGAATTAGGAAGGAATGGGAACACTTTAATTAGTCAATGTTTTATAAAATATAAGTGAAGGGGGGGAATTGATTATGGAAAGCTAATAATTGTTCCTATAGAGGTATGATATTTAACTGAAAATTAATGTGAAAAATCTTAAGACTTTAATGAATTTTAATATTAGTGATAGAATTGAATTGGAATGGAATGTTGTTTTTATTATATACATTTATATATATATATTTTTTAAGAATATTGTGTGCAGTTTAAGAATGTACCAAACAGAATCCGAATGGAAGCTATGTATTATATTGAGTGTTATAACTTTAGGGGCATCATACTCCAATCAGTAACTATAGGAGAAATTTTGTTTAATGAGAAAAGATAATAGACAATTGAAACAGGACAGACAAAAAAATATAAATATAATGATTTGAATTGAGATGAAATAAATATAATAAAATTGAGGAAATTAAAAGAGGGGAGAAGCTATGTAAAAAATGTAAAATTATAATAAGATATGGAATAGAATATAAAAATGAGCATGAACTTGAAATTGTGTCTGCACAAAGAAATGTAACCCAGGATTATGTTGCTTTCAAAAAAGATGTTTTAATTGTGTTTCTTTTTGTGAAAACTCAAATAAAATTTACAAAAAAAAAAAAGATAACAACATGACAACATTGGAGAAACAATGGTATTCACATCTACAATATGGGGGCCTGGTTGGAAACATCAAGCACAATATAATTCCTATATTTGAAGCTTGATGAGGAACAGGGACATTTTTTTTTCCCAAAAACAAAACAAAAACAAAAAGAGACTTCCTATTATTTCAGAGGAAGTAATGTTTTGATTCGCTGCTTAGAACTGTAGTCATTCTTAAATCCTTCTGGCCTCATTTTTCATTTTGTTCATTTGAGAAATAGAATTATAACCCCACAAGAGAGAAATTAAAGAAAGACTTCCTTTCAAGTTCCTAAAATGATATTCTATAAAAATTGAATTAAATGTTATGTGAGGAATTAAAGTAGGTGGAAAAACATGGCATGTGTTCCCCCTTTCCTACATTTCAAAGGACTATAACAAGAATGCAGGTCTTAATTAGGATCTGGCTTATTAATCATGTTTGTGTTTTAGGACCTTAGGAAAGTTCTCCAGAGGAATGCTGTGGCATATGTGAATCTCCATGATCCAATAAGAGGCGAAGGCATTTTATATTCCATAGCATCTCCTTCTGTTCAGCAACTAGTAATTGAAGTTACAAAGGTGAGTATCTTCTTGTATTGCATGTCTAATAGGAAGTAGGTGTGATATGACAATTCAAATTTAATGTAAGTTTTCAGGACAGTTCCAAAACTAATGGGCAAAAATGATAAATATAAATTAAATATTTAAACCCTGAAATGCTTATGGATAGTATACATTCCACCATAAAAATCAATATACCATGATAGACGCTCTTCTAAGTAAATTAAACCAACTAGCGGTACCTGAACACACTTGTAAGTGGATCATAAGCTTCCTAACAGACAGAAAGCAGCAGGTGAATACCTGTACAATCAGCATAGGGCCCCCCCAAGGTTGTGTGCTATCTCCACTTCTCTTCTCCCGATATACCAATGACTGCATCTCAAACGATCCATCTATTAAAATCCTGAAGTTTGCAGATGACACAACAATGATTGGTCTCATTCGAGACAACAACGAATCTACATATAGACAGAAGGTTATACAACTTGCCTCGTGGTGTAACCATAACAATCTGAAACTGAACATACTCAAACCCATAGAAATGGTGGTAGACTTTAGAAGAAACCCTTCCATACTACACCTCTTACAATACTAGACAACACAGTATCAACAGTAGAGACCTTCAAATTTCTAGGTTCTACTATATCACATGACCTAAAATGGACACCTAACATCAAAAACATCATAAAAAAAAGCACATGTTCTTTCTGCACCAACTCAGAAAGCTCAAACTGCCCAAGGAGCTGCTAATACAGTTCTACAGAGGAATTATTGATTCTGTCATCTGCACCTCTATAACTGTCTGGTTTGGTTCTGCAACCCAACAGGACAGACACAGACTTCAGAGGATAATTAGGACTACAGAAAAAACAATTACTACCAGCCTGCCTTCAGTCAAGGACCTGTATACTGCACGAGTCAAAAAGAGGGCTGTGAAAATATTTACAGACCCCTCACATCCCAGACATAAACTGTTTCAACTCCTTCCCTCAAAACGACGCTATAGAGCACTGCACACAGAACAACTAGACATAAGAACAGTTTTTTTCTGAAAGCCATCACTCCGCTAAACAAATAATTCCCTCAACACTGTTCAACTATTTACAAAGTCTGCACTACTATTACTATTAATTTTCTCATTACTCCTTATCACCCATCCCCTCCCACTTGTGATTGTATGACTGTAACTTTGTCGCTTGTATCCTTACGATTTATATTGGCTGTTTCCTAGTATGATTTGATTATTGATTGTACCCTATGACTATCATTAAGTGTTGTACGTTATGATTCTTGATTCTTAATGAATGTATCTTTCTTCTATGTATATTGAGAGCATTTTCACCAAGACAAATTCCTTGTGTGTCCAATCACACTTGGCCAATAAAGTATTCTGTTCTGTTCTGTTCTATTCTGTTCTGTTCTATTCTATTCTATTCTATTCTATTCTATTCTATTCTATTCTATTCTATTCTATTCTATTCTATATTAAATAATTGGCTATCTGATCCATCTGAAATCAGGAACATTAAAAAGGAACATTAGCACTTAGCAATAGCATTTAGTCTTATATAGTGCTTTCCAGTGCTTTCCAGCCAGAGGTACTATTCAGTAGTAACCTTCCCCCAGGAGTGGTGAGGGAATGGGGATTTTGAAGTAACCTTCCTCTGGAATGGGATGGGAATGGAGATTTTACAATATCCTTCCTCTGCCACACCCACCAAGCCACGCCACGTCCACCAAGCCACGTCCACAAAACCAATAGTAAAAAAAATGTAAATCTCACCACTATTTACAGCACTTTCTAAGCAGTTCCCAGAATCAGCATACCGCACCCCAACAATCTGAGTCTTCATTTTACTGACCTCAGAAGGTTGGAGGCTGAGTCAACCTTGAGCCGGTGAGATTCGAATTGCTGAACTGCTGGCAGTCAGCAGAAGTGGCCTGAAGTACTGCATTCAAACCACTGTGGCTCTAACAACCCTAATAAGACAACAATTTTCTCCTTTAATTTAAGGCAACAGAGAAATTGCATCAGAAATAAGTAGGAAAAAACTACTTTGTGTAATGCCAATGAGAAGTGGAAAAAGTTATGCCATGAGGGTTGTTGTATCCATCCATCATTTGTCTTCTAAAACACAATGAAAAAAGACCTCAGTAGAAGCAGTTGCAAGATAACAATATGAGAATCATGCTGGATTGCTATAATTTTTTTCCTGCTGAACAATATTTATAGAAAAAAGCAATAATCTTTACCAAATTATATTGTTTGTTGGGGATGGTAGAAAAATTTATTATTTGGAACTTAATAGAGTAGGAGATAGATCTTTCCTGTGTTCCATTATATTTGTATTTGAAGACATTTTTTTTCCAACAGATTATTGTTATTTACAGTATAACATTTTAAACAAACAAACAAACAAACAAATATTAGTTTGCTTTGTTTCTTCTCTTCTCCTCCCTTTCCATCCTCTCCCCTCCTCTCCCTACCAGTGGTGGGTTTTGCGTGCCTGCGCAAGGCTCAAAAACTCCCTCTGTGTCGGAGCTGGTGAGCTGAGTTGTTTTTTTAGCTCAGCTGAGGTGTGGCAATCCATTCTGCTGTGCGAATCAGATGAGCTAAAAAACAAGGGAATATAGGAGAGGTAATGACAGGGGAGTGTGGACAGGGCCAGTCAGAGGTGGTATTTGTCAGTTCTCTGAACTACTCAAATTTTCCGCTACCGGTAGGTCAGAACCATCAGAAATAGCTGAATACCACCTCTGCCATCCACCCCACCTGACCTCACTTCACTTCACTTCACTTTTTGTGGTCTTTTTTTAAAAAAAAAAAAACAAGTTTTATTAGTTTTTAAAGACAAACAAAAACAAAACATAAAAACATCCAACTTTCTTTCATAAATATACAAGCAGTGTGTCGGTTGGTTTACAATTTTTTGTGTGCATTCATTACATAGTCTCAATTACAGTTACATTGCATAATAACTCATATTATCAATCAAAAATTGAATACCCTAGTATCACTATTAATCAGTCATTTGACTATAATTTTGTTCATTCATACTTTGCGAGATAACTATAATTTACTTAGTTTATTTTATAACAATTCATATAATTGTCCCCAAATCTATCCTAAAACATTTTATAAATATAATAACAAAAAAAAAGAAATACGTCTTTATGTATTCATTATTTTCTGAAATTCTAAGTATTCTATTATTGTATTTTATTATCTAACCATTGATAGAAAAAGTCCCAAATTTTATAAAATTGTTTATCCTCCTGTTCTCTAATTTCAAATATCAATCTACTCATTTCAGCACATTCCAATATTTTCTTAATAATTTCCTCCTGTAATGGTATTTTCTCATTTTTCCAATTTTTAGCAAATACAATCCTAGCGGCTGTTAATACATTTACAATCAAATATTTTAAATCTTTACTGTATGTATCAGGTAAAATTCCCAATAAAAAAGACTCTGGTTTCAAGTCTATATGTTTCTTTGTCATTTTTTCCAACCACATGCGTATTTTAGCCCAATATTTTCTAGCCTCCTCACAAGTCCACTACATACGGTAATAAGAGTCAGGTATCTGATGACATTTCCAACATTTTTTGGATTTATTCTTGAACATTCTTGCTATTCTTGTCGGGGGGAAATGCCACCTGTAAAACATCTTATACAAATTTTCTTTATATGCTGTTGACATTGTCATTTTATAATTTTGAGACCACAATTTTTTTCCATTTCTCTAAATCAATCCCATATTCAAAATTCTTCCCCCAAGCCATTAAAACACAAACATTACAAGTGGTAAGAGAGAAAATGTTGAAATACAAAGGCAAGGAGATTGTGGTTTTAAAACAAATACCTAGAAGAGTGAGAGAGATGAGAAGAGAATACTGATTCCTGACTAAAATGTTATTGAAAAAAAGAGGTGAATTATAGATGGCTGATTCCAGAAGGGCTAATGTTCACATAGCAAGAACAGAGACATAGAATTGATTCAACTGAGAAAGCAGAATCATTTTACGCAGAATTTTTTGGAAGGAGAGAGGAAGAGGCAGAAAAAGAGATCTCACTAATTGAATTTCAAGAGGACCAAATGGGGACTGAAAAAGAAGAAGGCGCAGTAGGTGGACAGGTGGAAATCAAAGAACAACGTGACCCAAGATCTACGAGAGCTGCCAAACCTAACTACAAAATATAATCATGGAAGAGAAAAAACTGATTACAATGAATATAAATGGACTTAATTCAGCTGCTAAAAGAAGGAAAATTTTCCATAAATTAGAGAAATAAAAATTTGATATAATTTGTCTACAAGAAGTACATATTAAAAAACAATATGAACTACTGTTGGTACAGCCAAAGTTAGGGAAAATACTTACTTCTTTGACTCAATGTAAGAAAAGAGGAGTGGTTTTATATATTAAGGAGACCATCTCAGCAAAATTGATTCATACTGATGAAGATGGAAGAGTATTAATGGTGGAAATAATGGACAACAATATGAAAACACTCCTGATTGCAATTTATGCTCTGAACAATAAACAAGAAGAATTCTACAAAAAAACTACACATGAAAATAATTGGACTGGACTATGTTAATATAATTATGATGGGAGATTTCAATGGAATTGTAGACAATAAATTGGACTATACAGCCACAACAACAAAGCAAAACAGAAAGACTCTCCCTAAATCTTTTTTTTTAAATGATAGATGAAACAAACTTAAAAGATATATGGAGAGAAAGAAATGCTAAAACCAAACAATATACCTTTTACTCAAATGAACACTTATCTGGTCCAGAATAGATATGATTTGGATCTCAACAGAACGAATATCTAACATTCAAGAAACAAACATTGAAACAAGTACTTGGGCAGACCACAATCCAATGACAATTAAATGGAAAGGACAAAAAAGAAGATCGAGATGGATGTTAAATAATACTATTTTAAAGGAAAAAGACTTCACACAGCGGATGGAGAAAGAATTGGCCTTCTTCTTTAG